CTTTCCTGACTTGTCAACTTATGGCACATGATTCAATAACCATTCGGCCAATGAGTTTTTATTTTAAGATAGTGCTATCATACACATATTTTTACTTATCATATACCTATAGTAATTTTTAGCTGCGAGATTGAATGAATTGAAGAAAATTAATGACAATAAATTAATGTTGTGTGGAAGTAAAAATGAGTGTGTAAATAGCACTATTTTTTTTTCTTTCTTCAAGCACTTTATATATTTTAATTATGATGGAGAGTCTCGAGGGGGTTATTTGTAAGTAATATTTTCTAAAAACCTGTAGTTTAGGGCAACACAAAACCAAGATCAAACTTTAGTCGATTTTACCTTAGCCCAAAACAAGTTCTAAAGTCTAATACCTAATCAATCAACACATTTTCTAGAAGAAAGAAATGAAAGGTCACCGAGAACACCTCCATTTATGATAGATTTTATGGACGAATTATGCATATTTTTATATTTAGGATTTACATATATCAAATCTACGCTCGTTGAAGGTCAAATTAAAATGATTTATGATAGCACGATGTACGATGAACGAACATGATTCACAGATCTCTGGGATCCTCATTCATGTTGGAGATATCAAAATTTTAAACCAAATTATATGTCGCGAATATAAAATAAACACGTTAATCAATGATTTAGTAATAATCCAATCATCAATAACCACATCATTTGATTTGCAAATTTGGTTTAAAAAAAAATTGATCTCTTAGCATTATTGTATTTACATTCCATGAGCATTTTGACCAAGAAAACAAATGTAAAATGCTCCTTTCAAAGCATTCTACATCTCCACTTTAGATGCTTAAAGTGCCGGACTAAGATTATATTTTCTCCTATTTCTATCTCATTTCGTCCCCTCATCTCACATTCTCTATTTTGTTTTTCTCTTTTTATAAAAAAAAAATTAATATAAGATGTTGACGTGATTTAACGGTGACCATTCAAATTGGAGAAAAAAGAAGGAGAAGAAAAAAAAAAAAAAAAAGAGAGAATTCTCCTCCTAAAGTGCCAGCCTCACCTCTCTAACATTCCACTTTGAAAAAGTTTAGGTGATCGAGATCACTTCCCTTATCATCTCAATTTTTTTTTTCTTTTCCTTTCTCGGAGCTTTCCTTGTTGACAAAATCAACTTGACAACTGACTGGCTGACGATCGAGAACGAGAGAACCAACTGGCACCAATTCTCTCCGTCTTATCATAACTTCGTTGACCTAATTTTGCATCCGGACGAAATTGTGTGCGGCCGCTACAGCCTGCAACGTCAAATATTGAATTATATATGAATAAATGCTCGTTTTGATGTGTTTTTAAAATAACTGAAAATGTTTTTGATGTTAATGTTTTTAATATCAATCCTTAGTAAAAATCCAAGTGGATCTTGGAAAAGCATTTTAAGTGCTTCTACATATCTGATACTTATTCCAAAAAACACTTAAAGTGCTTTTGGAACTCAAAATCAATTTAATAAAAAACATCTTCAAACATTTTAAAAACATATTCAAACGAGTAGTAAGCCGTTGTCGATTGATTTGTGAATGCATGGCTTCAGTTTCTAAGTGCGGAAACGATGAGGATTTTTACTTTTCTTTTTTCAACTTTTGCGTCTAAGAATTATTGTGAGTGTCAATTGCTTGTTAATTAATTCACTTAATTTTCAAATAACTTATTATGTTGGTGGCTTGATATTTTAGTGTTATTGCAACCCTAATAGTATATGCTCTCACAATACACGTTCCATTATGTGCTAAACCCTATTAATAGCCAGGACATATAGTTTAAAGAGTGTAGAACACATTCATACGCAAGCCCCGATAAATTAAGTGTAATTGATTTATTGATTTTAGTTTATTAAATACGTGATCCTAATATCTTATTATTTTATTGTTGTGATTTCAAAATGTATTTTACATTGCATTCACATTTCATAGTCCACACTTCTCATGTGATTTTCCCTCGTAATAGCTAACATCATATTGATCAAGTTTCTCCTCGTTTTCTTTTTTGTTTTGTTTTTAGTACAAGTGATACTTGAGTAGGGAAAAATCGAACATTTGATTGCAAGTGTGGGAACAGATACTCTTAATTACTCAAGTGATAAGCCTCTTGCATTGACTCCTCCGAAAAAGAATGTGAGTGACCATTTCATCACATCTTCTGACAATAGCAATTCCACTCAAGACCAAAATGTAAATCAGCGTTCAAATCAAAGAATAAAGGGTAAATCTCATTTTACTACTCTCAAGTTTCGTGGTTTTCAACATTTGGTACATGAAGCTTTTGTCTCAGAGTTATACCTAAAGTGTTAATTTTGGGGCAGTCTCATATATCCGTTAGTCTGGCAGTTAAGTCTCCCATTAAATGATGATGTGGCGCGCTATGCGGACAATGATTAGACGCCACGTGTCATTAATGAAGTCCATGTGGAAATTAAAATTTCAAAAAAATAATTATTTAAAGAAAAGTAAAAAAAAAAAAACTTCCCCAAAATCCCCACCCCTCCCCCCTAGGGGTGGTTCGGTATGGGATACCGAACCAAAAGTAGTATCCCGAATCCCAAACCGAAATTTTTTGGGACGGAAATTTGAAGACCAATCCCAAACCAAAATTTCGGGAATCCCAAATTTCGGGAATCCCGAAATATTTTCGGGATTTCGGGACAAATCGGGAATCCCAAATTAAAATATGAAATTATGAATTATTCTTCAAATATATAATTTAAGAACACATTCATGAACTAGGAATGTCATTTCATTCACACTACCATTTAATCAAATATTGGCATGCTTGATTGTTTTTATCAAAGTCAAAATTCAAATTAATTAAACCCTTTTGACAATCTGTTAAGAGACAAAAGAATCAAACCTTCTGAAATCATTAGCCATGACAGTAGCAATAATAAAATCTAAATGAATATCAAACAGAACATGAAAAATATGCAAGGTGTAAGGCATTCCAGGTTGCAGAGCATGAATTAGAAACTACTAGCATCAATTATAAAAGAATAATATAATATATATATATATATAAATTAATAATATATAATTTCGGTTTGGTATGGGATTCCCGAAATATTGAGAAGTCAATCCCAAATCCCATACCAAAATTTCGGGATCGGTTCGGGATAGCATCCCGAAAATTTTGGGAATTTCGGTTTGGGAAATTTTTGGTTTGGGATCGGGATTTTTTCGGTTCGGTTTGGGATTTTCGGGAATTTTTTCCACCCCTACTCCCCCCCCCCCCCAAAAAAAAAACTTCCCCAAAATTCCCACCCATGCCCCCCTTCCCACCCACCATCACCCACCTACCCCCCCTCAAAAAAAAAACACTCTAAAAAATCCTCCTTAACTCTCTCTCTCTCTCTCTCTTTCTTTCTCCTCACCCTCGCAATCGGCAATTAAATCTTCCTTTCCGGATTCAATCTCAATCGGCTCTGGGGCTTCTGTTTCAGATTTGGAAACCAAAATTTTAAATAATTTAATCTAATCTAACTAAAAGAATTAAATTCGATTAGGTTTCAAATCTATCAAGGTGATTTGAAATTTCTAGGAAATTTCCCTGCGATGACTAACCATGGAGACTGAGATTTACACACGAAGGACGAGATCAATTGTGTTAAGGATCAATCGAACAGTAGGAATCAAGAACTCGTTGCCTTCGAACGGTCTGGGGAGCTCCAGCGCTGGACCGGCATCGAGGAGTGAGACTGGGCTCGAGGAGCGGTTGACGGGGATATTTGTTGACAAATGAGATGGAGATTTGTTGCTCCAGCAAAGCAATCGGGATGGCCAAGTTTTGCAATGGCTAGAAGCGCTTGATATGCTGGTTATGGGCGCGTGTTGTGCCAACTAAAGGCTAAAGCCACTGTTGAAGATGAATGCCTTGAATGACGTCATATAGGATCGATTGTTAGCTCAATTGAGCTAGGTATGATAGAAATGGTCAAACTCGATCGCTTGATATGCTGGTTATGGGCACGTGTCGCGCCAACTAGAGGCTGAAGCCGCTGTTGAAGATGAATGCCTCGAATGACGTCACATAGGATCGATTGTTAGCTCAATTGAGCTAGGTATGATAGAAATGGTCAAACTTGATTGAATTGAAGCTCTATTTTGCCATTCATTGGTTTTTGGTGAATTAGTTGGGGATTGGGGGGAGAGAGTGGTGCGAGAGACAGAGTGTTAGGGGGGTGGGAGAAGGGGTGAGTGATAGGGGAGGGTGGGCACGAGTGGGGATTCTGGGGAAGGAGATTTGGGTTTTTTTTTTTTTTTTTTTAAATAATTATTTTTTTGAATTTTTAATTTTCACGTGAACCCCTTAATGACACGTGGTGTCCAGTCATTGTCAACATGGGCGTCACATCATCAGTTAATGGGAGCCTTAACAGCCAGACTAACGGATGTATGAGACTGTTCCAAAATTAACACTATAGGTATGACTCTAGGACAAAAAAAACTTCATGAACTAAATGTTGAAAACAATGAAATTTAAGGATAGTAAATTAATATTTACCCAAGAATAAATCACTCCATAGCCTATTTCAATTATTACAAACCAAAACTCGTAACTAATGCAAACAACCCACTTTTAATTACTAAGCAACTGTTACTAGGGCATGTCAATGCTTCCATCAACTCGATCATATCACGTCGTACCACAATTCTAAAATCATATAAATTGATGTTAGTTTACGAGAATTAAACATAAGATGAACTAAATTGAACTGCATATGTAGATCACTTTTACACATTGGTTATCATGTGTAATCTCCTTATAACCATTTGTAATTTTTATAAATTATGAAGATTACAAGCAATTGCGTTGAAAGATCTTAGCAAATCCCTTCTAGTAACACTATTTTAATAAATTACACATGGCTTGTCCATTTTTTTCGGAATTAATATTTTCCTTGTCTTTAGACCAAAAAGCTGACTAGATGACTTCAACTGTACATAAAATCCGCATAAGCAATCGAAAAAGTAGTAGAGCCACCCTCCACTACCCATTTTATTAGAGAGAAAAGAGACGAGAGAGAGATGGGCTGCTACAGCATTTCCATGTTGGAGGTGGCCACGGTGGTTCTGTTGTTAAGTTTATTCGGATCGGCGGCCGGTCAAACGACGCCGGGTTGTGCTCAGGACCTTCTGCCGTGCGCGGACTACCTCAACAGCACAGCTCAACCATCTGCCACCTGCTGCACCGCCATCAAGCAGACGGTGGCCACCCAGCTTCCGTGTCTCTGCAACCTCTTTTACACTCCCGGACTTCTCGAGAGTTTGGGCAGCAACATCACTTCCGCTCTCAGAATCGCCACCGCTTGCGGCCAATCACTTGATACATCCAAATGCAAAAGTACTTTTGCTCAGTGCACTCTTTAGTTTAATTTGGATTTTTCTAAACGCACCCGTTTAAGATCTTGAGCTAACTAATATGTTTTGGTGTTTTGAATTTGCAGCTGTCGTAGTTGCTCCTACACAATCCCCACCTGCAGCCACAGGTACAAACTTATCTTTCTGTTTACTTTTATTTTGTCGGAAAATAAATTTTGATAAATTAGGTGTTAGATTAATTACCCGTCGGGATTCGAATTCACAGTATCATGCAAAAGCTCAACTCCTTTTTACTTGTGGTTACGTCCACTTACCTTCTCTTTCTTTTTACTTGTTTGGATCAAAATTCAAAATTCAATTGGGTAGTAGCAAAGATGGGATTTATTTTTAAATGACTGATAATGGTGTTTAATTAAAATGGAGATCATAAACTGAGCACAGGCATCAACATCCAATTTGAACAACTAGTGATTTATGGATAGATTGATAGCAGAATTGGGAGTTCATAGTCAATGATAATTATGAGCACTGTCATAGTTTCAAAATCGGATTTGAATCATATTATCATGGTTGACTTATTATTAAGCTTAACTAATTCTTACACCTTTTAATATAAATAATACCGTTTGTATAAAAAGAAAAAAAATGACTATTGTTCTTTAAATCTAAACTTATTCAACGTTTTCTAACAAAATGATAAGTTTCACAAGACCACATAAGCATTAGCGTTAGAAGAGGAAAGATATTTACACAAAAACTCATCGCATTGGTAGCATCTGATTAACAAATGAGTAATGTTATTCATACCATATTTTTATACTATATTTCTATATCATCTTAGATGGTATATGATGCGGATAATCATATCATTTGAAAAATTTGAAAAACTCAAGAAAAAGAAGGAGAAAGACTCATCGTATATCATAATCATCATTTAATTAACTAGTTTTTTTAATTATTAGTTTATTAAATAATGAATTAAATTTAAAAATATGATTAATGCAAATGATGTGGTTGTTCACATTAAATGTCATCTAAAATGATATAAAAATACGATACACAAATATAATACGAATAACATTCCTCTTAATAAATTTACAAGTTTGGATTTTAAAAGTTGTAGTTGGTAGGAAGTTGGTGTACCTAGGGAATAGTAGGTAAAGAAAGGGCACTTCACTTGGACATGCCATGTGTTTTTGAATATAATTTGCTAACTTCAGTCGGTGCCACCAAATCTGACTGGCCCTGTTAAAAATTCAAAAGCAATAAAAAAAATAGAAAAAGGAAATATTTCCCACGTCTTTGCAGTTGGGCAGCAAATAATAATAAAACAAAGTTGAAATTTCAAGTGCTCATAAGTCAAAAGCATCAGGAGTAAGCAGTTATGTCATGCCATGTTTGTACATTTATCACCTGAATTTGTATAGAGTTATCAATTTTTTTAACTTAATTTTATCTAATTATTCTTTGAACTTTTATAATTAATCAATTTTTTTTAAAACTGTAATTTTAGTTGATTATTTTCATGAATTTTTATAAATAGGCAATTTTCCACAACGCTAGCTTTTAAAAAATTTCATCTAACTTTCCAATCATTTTAATCACGCGAACAACATATGACAATTGTATAGAGACAAAATAATAGAAAATTGGATAGATGAAAACCTTCAAAGGAAAATTGGTTATTTATAAAATTTTATTGGGTAATCAGCTAAAATTAAAGTTTAGAGAAAAATTGGTTCATTATAAAAGTTGTGGGAATAAATCAGCTAAAATTAAAGTTTAGAGGGACCCAAATGTTTAATTTACATGAATGTTTCTTATGAATTTTTACCATTTAACCAAGTGGTAAATTTAATGTTAAATCTCCACTACGTCGTTATAATATTGCTGTTAATCTTGCAGGAACACCGGGAAATGACGATGGCGGTTCCGGCAGGGTAGAGTGGACTGGATTTTTTGCTCTTGTCTTATTGTGGGCTTCTGTCATGCTATATTAGTCCTTTTCTATCAACTTATTTGAGTAAATAATGCAAACAACAATCGATATTAGGGTCATGAGCTCACAGATTCGGAGATTATGTTATTTGTTTCGTGTCGCTTTACATTAATTTTTTTTAATATCATTTTACTATTTTACCTTAGATCATATTGGTCAGTGAGTATTTTCTTACTCATCTCATGTTGCACAATTTGAAGGTTTACATAATTGTTGTGGTGCTTTTCAATCTTTGTGGACTTGCCGTAAATGGGTGAGTTTTGCTGTAGTCTTCATGTGATTTGAGGAAACGACATTATGAGAATTTGAAGATCAACCCCGAACCGAAATTTTGATATTCCAAACTTTTAGAATTCCTAAAATGTTTTCGATATTTCGGAATGGACCAGGACTGGATTTTGGGTTTTGAGCTTTTGTGCTGTGGGTTAAAATTTGGGCTTTTAACTTGAAATTTTGTTATCCTACTTTATATCAATTGAAATTTAGGATTTTTACCTCATACCAATTTGAAATTTAATACCAATTTTATATCAAGTCAAATTGATGTTCCAAAGTTCCAAACTACTTAATTGCATACTTCTATTTCTAATATAGCATACTATCAAATAACTTCAATTCAACATTCAACATACATGCAACCAATATATATATGTTCGGTTTTGGATTCCTGAACTATTGAATATGTAATCCTCATTCTTGTACCGAAACGTATGGGATCGGTTCGGTATGGAGTCTCAAAATTTTGGTATTATTGGTTTGGAAATTGTTCGGTATGGGATCGGAAAATTTTTTGGTTTGGTTTGGGATTTGGGAAAAATTTCCAATCCTAGATTCTTATATATCTATGATTTTTTTTTTAATAGAAAAAAGCATTCATTAAAGAGAAAAGCCTCTAGTACGTACATTTGTTACCAATACAATCAAGATGGAAAGTAGGTAAAGCACTCGAAGGCAGACAATGGTCCCAAATGTGGGGCGAAGAGAAAGCCCAATATGCACCAAAGCATTAGTGACAAAATTGATTTTACGGAAGACATGCCTCCACTCAACCTGCAAGAACGAAGTAGCAATAAACTGACCTTCCTCAATAAGAGTTTTAATCTTCCAAAGAACATCCCAAGTACCTATCACTGATTTGATCACCACTTTCAATCATGTTTTGGTCATTCAATTGGGCCTTCCACATAAAATATAACTAAAAATCCGAACTTTCTTAGAAAACCTTCAAACTCCCATGATTTTACAATTTTTTATTCTCCACTGCAAATGCATTGCAATTATTGTCCAACAAAAAGAAGTGAATGTTGTTGAAGGTGCATGGACTAAAAGATATTTAATTAGGAGACTGAGTGACATAAAGAAAGATTTTTTTATGGATTTTCACAAAACTTGACAACGAGAATGGCTTCTATTATATGTGTACACTATTACTGTGATATTTCGTGCCAATAATACAATGTTATTAGAAGTGTTGTAAATAAGTGTCATTGATGGTATAACTGGTCCAGGACATCACCTCTGAAAGCATAGAGGTTTAGTTATTCGTAGCAGATATTCAAAAACCAACCACAGTCAGAGTTAATGTGCATTGAGGTTCCCACAAAATCTAGTTCGCTGCTGGGAAAAAATGTGCAACTTTATTTTAACTTTAAGTCTGAAAGAAAATAACATATAAAGCATTTCAAGATTGGTCTCTGAGATTAATAATTAAACGAAGGGTTATTATACAAAATGGTCTCTGAGATTTATATGATCAATAGAAATGGTCTCTGAGAATGAAAATCAATAGAAATGGTCCCTGAGATTGTCCACCAACCATGATTTTGGTCATTCCGTTAAAAACTTTTTGGGCAATTTTTAAAGCTTTGTAACTCAATCGAGTCTTAACCAAATTCGACCCATAATATATCAAAATGAAGATAAGAAAGTGTAGAACAAGATTATACCTATTTGGAAGCCCAATGATTTCCGGAGATAGCCAGAAAATAGCCTGAAAGGTGACTGGTCCGCAGGAAAATTGGAAAACTCGCTGGAAACTGGGTAAACTTTAAACGTTCATAACTTCTTCAATACTAAACGAAAATCATACTTTTTGACGAGACAAAGAGAATGATATCTTTCTTTACTGCTAACGCGTCGTGGTTTGGCCGGAAAATGGCTCGAAAGTGGCTAACTCGAAAATGGTTAGCCACTTTCGAGCCATTGTTCGACCAAACCACGGCGAGTTAGCCTTCGAAAAAGGTACCATTCTCTTGGTTGAGTATTGAATCACTCATCAAGAAGTATTATTTTTGTTTTTGAATCACTCGATTTGGCTGAGTATTGAAGAAGTTATGAATGTTTAAAGTTTACCCAGTTTCCGACGAGTTTTCCAGTTTTCTCACGGACCAATAACTTTTTAGGCTATTTTCCGATCATCGCCAACAACTATTGGGCTTCCAAAAAGGCATAATCTTATTCTACACTTTCCTATCTTCATTTTGATATATTATGGGTCGAATTTGGTTAAGAAACGATTGAGTTACAAAGCTTTGAAAGTGGCCCAAAATCATGGATGGTGGACAATCTCAGGGACCATTTCTATTGATCATGCAAATCTCAAGGACCATTTTGTATAACAACCCCTAAAAGAAAGAATAACCTAGTTCATAAAAGAGCCTATTTTGTATTAAGTTAGGTTATGTAACACCACTGACCATCATTTGGTTCCAACTCCAGTGCTTTCTTGAAGCTTTCAACTGCAGCGTCGATGTCATTGAGTGTCATATACGTCTGCAGCCAGTAAGATGTAGAGAAGTTAGATCATAAACATCAACCAGAAGGCTTTATGAATTTTCTTGCCAATTAAAGATTATTACCTGGCCTTGGCGAAACAAAGCCATCACATTATCTTCCCAATCACGCCAAGTAAAGTTTGTGTCCAATCACGCAAAGCCTTCACCTATTTGTGCCAAGTGTTAAACAGAAAGAAATCATAAACACAATATGTAACAATAGTAAAAAGATTGATAGGTTAGCTCGCTTAAATCTAAAACCTATCATGATATGAGCAAATTTACTATAAGAAATAGCTCGAAACAACTTGAATTCGGTATCAGGTTCTGCTCTTTTTGAATGAATCAAGCATACCATTTGAAAACCATAATAGAAAGGCAGCACCTTTACACAACAATACATATAATTTTCATTTTCTATAGTTTAGCATTTTTTTTTGTTAGATGATCAATCTACACACACAGATATGCATATGTACATGGATATATACAACATAGAAAATAAACATAAGTAAAGATAAGGACCACCACCAAAATTGAACGGATAACGAAATTACCTTTGACATATCACCTCTTTCCCATATCTAATGCTATGTCATAAGTCCCTAAAGTAGCAACTGCCTGAAACATGAAGAAAACCAGAACAAAATACCCCACTCAGTATTATGCAAGTTCCCAAGAGTAGTCCACCACCTTATAACCTACTGCTAAACTACAAATGCAATTCAACTTGACCATCAAATTACACATTCACCAACCAGAAATCAAAAGCCAAAATTACGGACGTTCATTAAAAGATCATGTAAATAAGAAATGGAAAAGGAATCTGAATTCGGTTTCTTAAGAATCAAAGGGAATAAAGCAACCAATCCACTTAACCTTACTCTATCCCCGAGAAAAAGAAATGACAAATATCAATGTGACAAATCAAAAGGTAAACATACTGGAAGGTGTCGAATCCTTCTTCACAAATCCCTCAAGCTTTCCATAGATATCATCGATGTCCTTCAAAGGAGGAGCTGAGTTGAAAAATGACTTGATTTCGGCATCTGGTGTTTCTTTTTGAACTTCCAACCCATTTGAGATTACTGATAGGGATTTTACCACCTGCACCTGCAGAAGTAGAGATAAAAACACTCAAAAATACTTGCAAGAGTACAAGGTTGTCGTAGTATAGCGGCTCAAGCAAGGTCGTTCTCCACAGGGATCAAATGAATAATTTATCTTTAAAACTAACTCTTAATTAATTATTGAAAACAAAGTTTGGAAAATGTTGATTCTAGAATTTAATATAATAAAAACGAATTTTAAAATAAAACAACTAAAGAAATTAACTAGAGAACAATTTAAAGAAAGTCAATTTGTAAAACCTAGGGTTCAGCCGTCACCTTAATAATCCCATGTAGTTCTTTTAATTCCTTATGAATTACATCTGCATATTTTAAAGGTTTGATTTTCCTAAAGTATGCCCTACTTGGAATCTCCAACATCGAACGTGTATCTAACATGCAACTCGTCTATGGCGTCTAGATCGAATGTGAATATGCAAGACTCATTAAGTTTTGTGAAAACTTTTTGAAAAACCATACAACCCTTAAGACGTGTCGTCTATCCTAAAAAGTTACACATATTAACCACAAGAAGCCATCGCCAATTTTAGGGGCAGCCCTCTGCCAAAATTGCTTCAAATTACTTATCTAAACATCCTAATGGTTGCGAATCACTAAGATAAATAGATAGTTTAAAGCACAATGATTAATAATTCAAAACTTGCATGCATAAATTCATAAGAAAATTAAAAAGAAACTACATATTATTGCTAAAGCTCGTGGCCTCGCCCTAGCAAACGAAACTAGTTACAAACAACCATAAAACAAAATATTATTAAGAACATAGATAGAAAACACCTTGAAAATAAACTTGAATTGTCAAGGCTCTCTAAAGCCAAAGTATTGCGTTTTCCCCCCAATGTTGCTTAGAGAACCCTAATGGATAGCCTTACTTATACTATTACAAAATAAAACCCTAAAAGGTCTTAGAGTAAAACTAGCAAACATAATTAAATAATAAAACAGAAAATAAAATGTTTCCTATTTGAACTAGAATTCGGAGTTCTCAGAAAATCACACTTTTGACCGATCAAATCAACTCTGATTTGGTCCCAAAAGGTCTCTTTTTAAAGCTGAAGACGCCCCCTACAAATTTTTAGAAGGAATCTTCCTCAAAATATGCATATTGACCTCCAAAATATCCAAAACGTCCAGAAACGTCAATCTGAGAAAGCTGCGCGCTGAGCCTTAATTTCATCACCACAGTCAAACGGTTTGGTATCAAAATCTGGAATTTTGTTACAGTCATCTTGAAAGACACACCAACATCCTCCAATTGGAATCACTCCAAAATTCATCCGTTTGATCACTTTTTGCTCAAGAGGAAGTTGAATGTCTTACATTGAAAATATATAACAAAGTATCAAAATTCTACCAAAATAACTAATAAATTAATACTAAGATTAGAGTAAAATATATGGTATAATATGGACTCATCAATTACCCTACGGGGAATTCCTTATCAAAACCCACAAAAAAATCTCAATTTTCACATAAACATAACTAATACCCAATATAAGTAGGAAAATGACTAAAAGATCAGATTTTTATCATTTTACAAATCAACTGAATAAAACCCATTATTTTTTGGATCAATACTGACCACACAAAGTAAAAAAATAAAAAAGTCGAAGGATCATGAGGTAGGTGAATATAATTTGGGGAAAGATACCCTTTAGATTCCCGAAACCCACATGCGTATGCTGAGATTTCAAACCAGAAATTCATTACAAATCATAAAAAATAAAACAATTAGTGATGAAATTCCACAATATATTTGAATTGAGAGGAAATTCAAAATTGAAATGCAGAGTACTGATCCCAAGAAGGAGAAAGCAACTGAATGGTGAGAAAGATAGAAACAAAAAACATCACACTTGGAGAAAACATGATTTGAGTAGTTATAAATGTACAAAATCATATATGTAAGCTTACTTGTTAACATTTTCGAGTGGAAAGCTTTTCGATTTTTTCCCCATTTAGATATAACCGGAACGTGGGTCTGAAGATTTGGACCTGTCCTGCCCGTTTATTCTCAAAAAAAATTGGACCCGTCCTGTACCCATCCCGAGCCGTGATTACCTATCTCAACCTGCAGGTTCTCTACTAGTTTGCCCACTCTTAGAGAGCACGAGAGACAAACTTAAATTAAAATGTTACAATTGAAACATGCACTAACCTAAGATATTACAAACTTGGACGTTTTGTTTAGGAATTACCAATTTTACTCTAACACAATTTTTAAATTTTCAAACGCTTAGAGATTAATTAAGACGGTGACTAACTATCTAGTGCTTAGACATAACGTAAGCAACATTAGACGGATATTTTTAGGACAATGATATTTTACAGCAAAAATAAACTATCCATATAATAATAGAAGCTATTAGAAGAGCCTAGTCAAGCCAAGTTTATTACAAGTCAGCCCTCGCAAACCCTAACAAAAAGCCCAAACGAAACGCAGAGAAGCAAACAAAACCTCGACAGCTCCGCTCTCACTCCTCAGAAGTTTCTCTAAAACCCTAATCTCTCTCTTCCTCTCTCTCTCTCTCTCTCTCTCTCTCTCTCTCTCTCTCTGAAACTTTTACAAATGGACGAGGCGAAGCTCAACCAACTCAAGCATTTCGTCGAACAGTGCAAATCCGATCCCTCCGTCCTCGCCGATCCTTCGCTCTCCTTCTTCCGCGACTACCTCGAGAGGTAACAATCCATTTCTCTTAGTATCCGATTTTTCTTTTGCAGAAACCGATTCGGTGTTTGTTTCGCTGTTGAATCGGAACGAAATTTTGAAATCGAATTCGTTTCTTCGTTTCAGTCTCGGCGCTACGCTCCCTGCCTCTGCTCAGAAGCAAGGCGATTCAAAATCGGTACTCTTCTCTCTCTTACTTTTTGATTGTTGCGTTTTATGTTCTGTGTGTATGCGTTTTGATTGAGGGATTTGCGAGCGCAGAAGAGCTATGTCGTGGAGGAGAGCGACGACGACATGGCGGACACTGAAGCCGCTCAAGTTCATGTCGAAGAAGAGGAGGATGAGATAATCGAATCTGATGTTGAGCTCGAGGGTGACACCGTGGAGCCTGACGATGAACCTCCTCAGAAGGTTGTTTGTTAATTAATTTCAGTTTTAGTTTCTTACTTGTTAGTATGTGAATTATTTTCATAATTTTTGTATGTTCATGGCTTTAATTATTTTGCAGATGGGAGACGCATCGGTTGAGGTGACTGATGAGAACCGTGATGCTGCACAGGCAGCAAAATCTAAAGCTATGGAGGCCATTTCAGAAGGTATAGTGGATTACTAATGGTAATGTGCCTGTTCGTGTGTGATTTGAGGGCTTGTTTGAGGATTCGTTCAATTTTATGCAATGCAGGTAACTTGGAGGAAGCAGTTGAACATCTCACAGAGGCGATTTTGCTCAATCCTACATCAGCAATTATGTACGGCACCAGAGGTATGAGTTTCTAGTTCTTATATAATTATATTCAGTAGGGATTATTTTGTTTATTTGAATTTGAGAGTTTACTTCCTACTGGTTTATTTATTTATTTATTTTTTTTCTGAATTCTGTCTACTTGTTACTTCACAGCTAGTGTGTACATCAAAATGAAAAAACCTAGTGCTGCTATCCGAGATGCCAGTGCTGCTCTTGAGGTTGTTCACATACCTTGCTTGTTTTTATACAGTGATGATATTTTTTTTCGCCCATGTAGAATTTGTTTGTATATATATTCTTTGATGTTTATGTGGTTTACTCATTTGAGGTATTAAGTATGATTAGTCAGCAACGTTATGTACTCTACTCTGCTTATTACAACCGGATAAAAATAAAATGTTTCTTTGGGCCGGGTGTGGCTTCATGTATAGTTCTGTTTGCATCAGTTTTAACTACTTGCCAGGTGTGACGTTTTGAGAAGGTGAACTTATGTTTTTATGTAATCTTGATCTCAGATCAATCCCGACTCTGCTAAAGGCTACAAGTCTCGTGGCATAGCACGAGCAATGCTTGGTCATTGGGAAGAGGCTGCTAAGGATCTTCACTTGGCATCAAAGCTTGATTATGATGAAGAAATAGGTGCCGTACTTAAGAAGGTTCGTCTCTCAGTCTCTCTGGTTTGTCAAGTAATTGCATTTTTTGGTTGCATTTATTTATGCTGTGTCATACATAGATAAGTTTGTTCTTCTCATTCTTTTGCCTCTATTTATCCTGTATCATTCATTGTATGTATATCTTATTCTATGTATCCAAATCAACTGCTGCGATCACTGCAAGAAAACATGGATTCTGTGAAGAATGGTTTCGTCACATATACACTGAACTTCGTCACATATAGGTGACGAATTTCCATGCGTCACTACCATACAGCATCGCCTATAGTTGACATGATTTTTTTGTTTGTCATGTATTGGCTCTATATGCAACTTTCCTCACACATTCCTAGATTGAATTCCGTACTTGAACCAAATATGTGATGCTTTGGGGGTCACTTATTCCTCGATTGTGTGATGACTATGGTTTTGTCACATACTGTGTTGGATTTCATTTTTCTTGTAATGCTTTTTCTCATTTAATTATTTTCATAATTGTGCCTGATAATTAGTCTATAATTAAAACTTTGATTCTAGTGAACCAAGAAAATGAATAAAATGAACATCACAATCACACTTTATGTATCAATAGAAGTATTTGTTACATTAGTAACATGTTCAATAAACTAAACATGCACAAAGGGAATAAATGTCGTTTTGAAACAACAAAGTAATGAAAAATAGTCCTAAAACAATCCTAAGTCTCCCATTATCTTTTAGAATAAGACTACATGAAACTTGACTGGACTATGAAGACTCTTGTGCTGTTGCTACTGGTTGTTGGAGGGTGTAAGTAACTTGGCTGACAAAAATTTCTCATAAACCTGCAGAGATACAAGAGAAAAAAAATTGAGCATTATTACACATGCAATAGCAAACAAAGATATATCAAAACTTACTGAAAACCCAACTTGAACAAACCATTCCTAAAAACAATAAAGGCCAAAATCCTCAATTCCCAAATGATGAATAGGTAATAAAGCAAAGCAACCAAACTTAGTGAGGAACTCAAAGATTTCAACTAAATCTCAAAACAAGAATCCATTAAAACAAAAAGCTTTCAGCATGCAACTAATTTCTTCATAGGAGCAAATAATAGGGAGAGAAGTTGGCCAACAAGCTATCAACCTGTAACTGAAAATTAGTACAAAAAAAGAAAAAAGAAAAAGAAGAAATTCATTCAGGCTAATTGTAACTTTGCCAACACAAGTTCCTCACAAATCTGCGTACAAGAGAAAAAAAAAAAAATATCACATAACAAAACCACCAGTAAAAAATAGTTTTATGCAGACACAATTTAATTATATGCTTAGATTGCAAATTGTCTAATATTCAGTTTACAAACTTTACTGTGCCTTTATGAAAAGAAGTAACAACGTAGTTTTTCTTTAAGAAAACCTAATAAAACAGAGAATTGGTAACTTATTACTAGTGAACTGCTTTTTGGAAATAATATTAGTATCTTATTACTATTAAATAATGAACTTTCTTGAAAGTCAATTATTGTGGGTTAACTAACTCTACGAAATGAAAATTGTCTGTTTTCGTGTTTTAGAGTTTCCTTTTTTCACCTAATGGCAACTCCTCCAATTGTAGGTTGAACCAAATGTGCACAGGATTGAGGAACACCGTCGCAAATATGATAGGCTTCGCAAAGAAAGAGAGGACAAAAGGATTGAGCGTGAGAGACAACGTCGCCGTGCTGAAGCTCAGGTAAGGATCTTGAAGTCCATTCCAATGAAAAGATTGTCTATTTTTTTTTTGGCTCATTTGGTCCATTCTTTTCAAGGCTGCATATGAGAAGGCTAAGAAGCAAGAGCAGTCATCTTCTAGTAGAAGGTCTGGAGGCATGCCTGGTGGCTTTCCAGCAGGCATGGGTGGAGGCTTTCCAGGAGGAATGCCTGGTATGCCCGGTGGTTTTCCAGCAGGCATGGGTGGAGGGTTTCCAGGAGGAATGCCTGGAGGGTTTCCAGCCGGCATGGGTGGCGGCTTTCCTGGTGGTGCATCTGGAGGTGCATCTGGAGGTGCACCTGGAGGTTTCCCCGGTAGCGCGCCAGGAGGGGTGCCTGGAAATGTTGATTTTAGCAAAATATTGAATGTAAGTATGTCGGTTATGATTCAATTTTAATATTAAATATGTTCCTGAAATCAGTGACTGTTGGTGGTAATGATGTTTTGTTGGAATTATCGTACCGTCAGACATTGTTTCTCTTATCTATTGTTATATTGAACATTTGGTGTGCTTTAAGAAATTAATTTACAAATTTAAATTGTCTTTGTTGCAATGTGTGTAGGACCCTGAACTGATGAATGCATTTAGTGATCCAGAAGTCATGGATGCTCTTCAGGATGGTACTGTGTCTATTCTTATTATTTTTGCTTTGCATCGATATTTTCTTCCTTATGAAAACAACTCCGTCTACCAGGCTGTTGACTTTTGATAGTGAATGCCTAGTACTTGTGATTAAACTGGTTATGTCAATACATGGAAACTTGTAATTCAAATATTGAATTTGTATTTTTGGAGTTGAAACATAATAAAATAAACCAAACACTAAGAAGTTCAAACTTTATGGTTGAACTCTCAAACCCTTTGATTTTTTGGACGACATATTGCGAATGGAGTACCATTCATTATTCTTCTTTTTGTATAATGTTTTGGTATTGCTAACCACACACCAATTTTTACTTCTCACACCCCTCTCAATTTTCGCTCGTTGGATTGAATGATTGGAAAGATGATCAATGGCCTAAAATTAACTAGGGTGTGTGGGAGGTAAAATTGAGTGTGTGAATGGCACTATCCTAATGTTATGTGCCTGTTTCCACAAGACATCATAATTTAGAAAAAAAAAAAAATAACGTGTAGCGATATTGTCATGAAATTCTCCTTCTGTAGTTTGCTAATGTCATCGTTCGGGTTTACATGTGACAGAATGTGCAGTGATATTGTCTAGTTAGCGCTACTTGGAAAAACAGAAGTAATAGAGATTTTAGGGTTATATTCGTGTTATTTTTTTATTTTGAAAGTGTTGGATACATGTACTAGGAATTTTTAATACAGATTGTTAAGTAAGACTAGAAGGAAGTGGGCTAGTGGAGAAGGAAGATAAGAGTTGAAGTAGGAACCCAAATGGAAGTACAATAACCATACTCTTATTAAATCTGTCTGCAAAGTCGTTTAAAACTTTGGACTCTGATGTATATATCAAGCAACCGAAAGAATCACCTTTTGAAATACAGAAATCATCTTTCCCCACCCTGATTTTCGTAAAATGTTATGTTGAACGTCTGGTTACTGTTGAAGCATTGTGAATTCATATCTTCTGATGTATTTAGATTGAGTGTCCGGTCTTTGATTTACTTGGTCGGCGTCCTACTTCATCATTTACTTATAATGTCCCAAAATCTTTCTGCTAACTGATTTGTCCTAGTACCAGATTTAATTTTATAGTTTGGTTCTAGCTCTTGATGTTCTCACATGCATTAAGGTTGAAGCTAGAGATTCTATGTGTTGTAGGATCAGGGTACCCAGATTTGATAGCAATGGAGTTTCCTACGTGCCTGACCGTAATTGATTTGATTGGTTTTTGCAGTAATGAAGAACCCTGCTAATCTAGCAAAGCATCAAGCAAATCCAAAGGTGGCTCCTATTATTGCAAAGATGATGAGCAAATTTGCCGGACCGAAGTGAGAGTTTCCGAGTTGTAACGATGTTTTAGGGAGATGGAAGTTTTTAATACTTTTGGGTTGGGGATGCTAGTTGACAAATGTATGGTTGGTTTATGAGCTGGTTTCACGTGGGATAGCTTGACAAAATTCTCTGCTTCTCTTACCTTTACTTTTACGACAATGCTTATGGACCATGTTTAGCCGCGTGTCATTGCCTATCGGCAATTTTATCATATATATATATATCGATAAGGGTTTCAGGTTCTCTTCTCAAACCTTCTTACTGGGTCAACCGTCAATTAATTTGCCCTTGTACATTCAACTTGGAGAATAGAGGCTAATTGTTTAGTCTGCTCGTGTATTGGTATGGAGAATTGTGAGAGCATAGCACGTGTATTAATTGGCAACCTTTTTTTTTAAAAAAAAGACAAAAATTTGTCCATTTTATGAATTTTATTATTTATGTATGTAAATATTTGTTTGATATCATGTTAAAACTAGGTTATGCAAAATGTGTTAAACTGTCGTGTATTAAATGTGAAATATGTATATACGCAAGCAATAGGCGTATTGTAGACATTTACAAAGTATATTTTGAGTGGTAGTGGAGGTTTTTTATGAGCCTAACTCTATTGTAGGCTGCTTAGTACTGCAGTTTAGTGATATTCCTTCTCACTTAGGTTCGATTATCGCAAAGATGAATTTTATTGCTAGCTTATTGTGAGAATAAGCTCACCGACTCTTTTTAGTGTAGATAATATCGTTTGTTAAAAAAAAAAAAAAAAAAAAAAAAACCTCTATTGTTGGTTTTGGGCCTTAGGACATTTTAGGGTAATTCGAGAAATCTATATTTGATGGTAATTCGGATTTGACTTTTTTATTTTTACTTGAATTTGGAAACCTAATCATGAAACTGAATTTGGAAACCTTTTCTGTTGAGAATTCATTGTCAAAAAACATACAAGTGGGCCGTGAAATTCTCATAAAGGCAGTGGCGCAAGCTATTCCCACTTACCCAATGAACCTCTTTAAGTTTCCTACGTCACTGTGCAACGAAATGGACGCTATGATCTCCAAATTTTAGTGGGGTCAAAAAAATGGTGAGCATAGAATTCACTGGGTCTCTCGTGAGAAACTGGAGCGGCCGAAGGAGGAGGGAGGCTTAGGCTTGAGGAACTTTGAGTCATTCAATGAGGCCCTCCTTGCTAAGAAGTGTTGGAGACTGATAATGGAGTCAAACTGTCTGTGGGTGTCGCTGCTTAAGGCGCAGTACTTTCCTAACTGCTCTTTCCTTGATACAAAGAGAGGCGGAAGAGCCTCTTGGGCTTGGTCAAGTCTTCTTGTTGGAAGAGATATTCTTAAAGGGGGCGCTCACTGGCAAATTATGGATGGAAATCGAGTTTGTGTCTAGATAGACAAATGGCTCCCGACCATTCCCAGGGGCAGACCATCACCATTAGGCACGATGCAAGTCTCTAAAGGGCTAATGGTCAACTCGTTAATTTTCACAGAGAGTGGGGAGTGGAATATTGACTTTTTGAAACCTTTCCTGGTTGAGGAGGAGTTTGATGCAATCTGGGAGACTCAAATCGGAGATCCAACACTTAGAGATAGACTGGTATGGCCTTTTGAGAAGAATGAGATGTTTACAGTTAAATCTGGATATCATTGGGCTCATAAATGTGCTCACTCACATTGGACTCCAACATTCATACGTCAGCTACCATTCCTGGTGCTTTGTGGAAGTGTGTTTGGCATTTGGAAGTTCCTCCAAAACTCTGATGCTTTTTGTGGAAGTCCTTGCATGTGGTGCTTGCTACTATGGTAAGCTTATACCAACGACATTCTTCCTCCTCTGCGATGTGTCCTATCTGCTAGGTACGGGATAAGTTCATCGAACACCTGTTTCTCGAATGCTCGTGGGTGGAAGCAGTTTGGTTTGAGGGAAGTTTGAATCTAAAAGTGAACATAACTGAGATAACATCCTGGGCAAGATGGATGCTGCAGATGTATAAATCTGCCAAAGGCTCGAATGAAGCGAGGAACCACATGATATCATATATCGCCATTACTTGCTGGCATATATGGAAGGCAAGATGCAACTTCCAGTTCAACTGATAACCTATCTACCCTTCACAGGTGCTTGCCGTTATTATTCACTCGACAACAACTTTCAGGGACGCCTTGTCAATCCAACCCACCACCGTTGTGACCAATCCTGTGGAAGCTAGCATTGGCATTGGATGGTTTCCTCCAATGGCGGGATATATGAAGATAAACGTTGATGCTAGTTGGAGTGCATCGGATGAGCTGGGATTTATGAGAGCAGTTGCTAGAGATGAGGAGGGCAGGTTCTTGGCGGCTTGTAGGTTCAAAGAAAAAGCCATAAGCGTGGCAATGATGGATGCGAGAGCTAATTTGCATGGTTGTATACTGGGAGTGAACAGAGGGTGGAATTTGATAATGGTGGAGTTTGATTCTTTGGAGTCTATTACTTGTTTAAAGGACGTAACAAGGAAGGGCAATTAAGAAGCCTTCCTGGTTATTGCGAGATGTAGTCTTCTGGGGAGTGGCTTTCATTATTGCCGCTGGTCTTGGGTTCCAAGATTTGCCAATATGGTAGCGGACCTTTTGGCTTCGTGGCGTTGTAGGGAGGATTGTGATCTTATATGGGTTGACAGACCCCCATCTTCCCTTGTTCATGTTTTGTGTAATGATAGACTTCCATGTCCTCATTAATTGTGTTGGTAGTGCGAGGAAGGACGCTTTAGCATTAGGTGCGGCGTCTTAGTTTATGTTACTTCCTTGCACTACCCTTTCCTTGTTTTGTTTGTTTGCCTCATTATAGGCCTTCTTGTTCCCCTTTGGCATCTTTGCCCGGATGATATAAAATCATGTCTTCCCAAAAAAAAAAAAAAAAAAAAAAAAAAAACATACACCTTATAAACATACTAATTTTCGCTCAAAATTTAATCACCTCATTCTTTCACTCTAAATTTGTGTTTGCTCTTTTACTTTTTGTCTATAATTTGCTTTGTTTAGTCATTGCTTAGACTTCGCTTCTACGACCACCTTAGACATTATGTAAAGCTGAGTGAGAACAATAAGGGCTGGTTTAGTATTGTTGTGCTTTGAAAAAAAACTGCTTTTGTTGTGCTGTGAGAATAAGCTCATTTTTGCTGCTTCACGTTTTTAGCTTTTTTTCACCCAAAAATGTGAAAATAAGCTATTTTTAAGTGTTTACCAAACACTTTTTTGAGCTCAGATTTTTTTGATACCCACTTTTTATAAAAGCACCCCAGTACGAAACCAGTACTAAGAGGAGCAGAATGTCATTACGCGGGGATGCTATCCGCCAAGCTAAGGAAAACAAAGTCGTTTGGCCCCCCACCAGATTAGGAACACAAAGGTCTCCCCTTGTTTATCATTTTATTCGAGGCTAGAGAATTAAATGTAGAAATAGGAGAAGGGTTCCAAACCTTTTTGGTTTTGAGGGCCACGTGCCTTGCTGTACCAAAGGCTTTCTAGGCTTACACATTCCTATTACATGACCTAAACGAGAAAAATTCAATAGCTCCATTATGATTTAAGTCTTTTGAAGTGTCAGCAATTGTAACTTTGGGTAGAAATTTTGTTCTTATTGCTCTGAGTTTTGACCTATACGACCTCCATGCGGTACAAAGTACCCCTCTTTAGTAGAGGCATGTAGTAACTTAACCTTTAAGACTCTGTTCAAGGTAGTTTGCTAAACATTGCTGTTATGATTTTCCTAGTGATGATGGCTCCTGGTGATGCCTTTTTTTTTTTTTTTTTTTTTTTTTTGGCATCGATGCAATCAATCACCATCTTAGAGTCAGATTCAAAGACATACAATGTGGTAATTAAGCTGAATGGCAAAGAGGAAAGCTATGACAACGGCTCTAGCCTCAACTTCGAAAGCGGAAGCTGTAGAAAATGCTATGGCCTTTTTGTCAGCAAACAGCCCCCATCATTCCTCACAACATCCCAGCGCTTGCCTATAGAAAGGGAGCAGACCAAGCCTCGTCAAAATTTATCTTCACTGCACCAGCATGGGGACTCCAGGCCATACACATATCCCTGATGCTAGGTTCATTAACCCTTTCAATCTGACTCACGGACGTGTCCAACCATGGACAAGGAATTTAGCTTCAAGACTGAAACGAAAGCATTGCACGTGATTGGTAGGCACTGCCATGGCAACAACCTTGGTTGTCACTTCACGCCCAACTGTGGACAAGGAATTTTAGCTTCCAGGACTCAATTTTTATCTTCAGTTGAAACCTTCATAAAGTGGACGACACTCTTCTTTGATATGCCCCAAGTTGTTGGAAGATCCAAATAGTTGCCTAAGCAATCAGATGGTGTGATTTTTTGAATGCACTCCAGATCAATGACAAGATCGACAAGACAATTTGGAGAGTGGAATAGAGAGAACTTGTCCATATGAACTTCTTGGCCTAAAGCATGACAACATACATTAATAATACGCACTATTTCTTTGCAACCCCGTTTATTAGCTTTGATGAGAAAAGATAATCGTCCTTGAAGAATAAATGAGATAAAGTTGAATCATCATTACTTAATTGAATCTCATGTAGTCTCTCAATTCTACATGACTATTGGATAATAGAAGAGAAAGTTTCAGTAATAAGCAAAAATACATAAAATGAAAGAGAATCACCTTGTATTACTTTTTTTTCTTGATTTGAGTAAAAAAAATGGTTCCTCAAAAGGAGGGTTTTGGGTTTTGGGTTCCGGGTTCGGGCTAGGGTTAGGGTTTGTTACAAGGGTTGCAAGGTGAGAATTAGGGTTTTGTTTAGCATACGTATTTTGAAGATGTGTGTGATCTGAAAGGAGGGCTACTCTGGACTATTTCTGTGCAAGTTTGGGGTCTACAACGCAAGTTTTTTTGGATTAGGGTGTGCCGCTGTCATGGCGGCAGATCATGACAGGATGGATATGGAGGATCTGGGGTCTAGGTTTGGAACTAATATTCGACTGTCTGTCAAAGAGCGGAATGGAATCATAATTGATCGGAAGGTTGTGGAAGGGGTACTGCTAGTGTTCTAGTATACTATGGTTGTGGATGTCCTTACTGTGGATGCAAATTTCTTCTTTCTTGATCTTGGACAAAATTGCACCTATAAAACAAATAACACCTTAGGTCAAGGCCAAGAGCCTCACGCGCCCACGATGAATTTGGGGAGGGGGGCTTTGGCCGAAGAACCTTCGATGCCAAAGTTAG